AGCTGAAAAATGCGGCTTGTACAGCTTCTCGCTCCTGTTTAATAACGCCATAGTGAAGGAGAGTAGGAGTACGTATAGTAGGAGTAGTACGTAGGAGGACGGCGTGAAAACCAGATATCGAGCTTTAGGGTATGAAGCTTTCTTTTACATTGCGATACCCACCCAGCGGGATGTTAACTGCATGCGGGCCTAAGCGACTATGTAGTGATATGACTGTAACCTCATGTTCTTGTCGTATCAATAAAATATCGCGGACCGCTCTTTACTTGCCGAAGAAAGACTCCGATTTCAAGCAATCTGGACCAGTTTCGACAGCACCATGGTGTCTCACTAATTTTTAGCGTTTTGCCCTATAAATCTGGTTCTCGAGAACTGTGGCAACTACAAAGAGCCCGAATACATGATTGTACTTCTGTATAAGTAAGCGATATTCACGTGTGTGGGAGAAACTTAGGACATCTGTGGCGGAGTTTGCCTTTTTACACCAGTCATCTTTTCTTTTTTTATAGCCATAGAAAAATTACGGAAAGTGAACAAATTAAGCATACGCTGGAATAGATTGGGAATTTTATAGATTTTTGAAACGATTTTTGACCGTAGAGTTCGTTTTCAACTACTATCAGATTTCAGCTTCAAGCTCAAATATGGGTTAGGCAGACTATTGATACCCATCTTATAGAGCTTGCCTTGCTTTGTCGAATGATTAGTCAAGCTGCTTCAATTAAAGAAAAATACTAAAAGACAATGGTTGTAGTAAAAACGGTAAAAAAATTACGAGTCAACCTAATAGTCGCATACTATCCGCCATTCAAACAAACTATTTCAAGTGGAGGGGGAAAGACGAAGGAGGGAGGGGGGAAAGCATAGCAAGCATAAAGCCTCATCGAGAAGGTTACACTTAGACAATAGATAAACTGTTAACAACTTTGAAGCTCAGCAGCCCGCACTGAAGAGGTTTTCTGAAGTTCTTCTGCGCTTTCATTCTTCCATTGTGTAATGAAAAGGATGTTTATCATTCAGTAAACATCATCTACACGTTAGCAGAGCAAAGCATATTATTCACATTTTCTACAATGCGCTATTAAGCTAGAGACATGGAGATAATAGATGGGCATGCTTTAGACTCGACTCATTTGGGGGCATTTATTTTTGTCAGGCTGCGATACTGTAAAAAATAGTCGCTGCACAGAAGACCCAGCTACATCTCCAATCTGCGGACCGATTGAAAAGATATATTACAAGGTATTCAATGCTTTGAATTGCAGCTGTAAACCGCTGCTTTTTTGAAGGTGACTGAACGAATTCCAATGCCTGGTGAACCGAATAAAACACTTCTGTGGCTGAACGTTACATTCGATCCGGTTATGGGAGAGAAAGAGCTACCAACGCTCTATTATAAAGTCTATTACGGAGAAGGAGAGCCATACGACAATGTTCGTAAGCCCATTTCTATCTATC